AGCAGATTAGACACACCGAAAGAATTAGTGAACACAAATAGTAATTTTAAGAAATTGCCCAGAGGGGCGCCTGGGTGGCGCAGTCGGTTAAGCGTCCGACTTCAGCCAGGTCACGATCTCGCAGTCCGTGAGTTCGAGCCCCGCGTCGGGCTCTGGGCTGATGGCTCAGAGCCTGGAGCCTGTTTCCGATTCTGTGTCTCCCTCTCTCTCTGCCCCTCCCCCTTTCATGCTCTGTCTCTCTCTGTCCCCCCCCCCAAAAAAAATAAACGTTGAAAAAAAAAATTAAAAAAAAAAAAGAAATTGCCCAGAATGCTTCAGAAAGGGGTACAAAGGGGAAAAAAATAAAAGAGAGGTTGAGAAACATGGAGGAAAGAATGAAAATTTCCAACAGAGGTCCAGTAGGAATTTGAGAAGCACAACAGCAACAACAAAACAGAAAAGGAGAGAGAATTGATATTCAGGGAAATAATGGCCAAAATTTTCCAGACTTAATAAAAGCCATAACTGCTCTTATTCAGTCCTGAGAAGGATAAATGTAACCTACGTCTAGGTACAACTCAGTTAAATTGCCAAACACCAAAACCAAAAAGAAAATCTTAAAATTAACTGTAGACAAAAACAATTACAACAGTTAGGGGGATAGCAGACTTTAGCAGACATAACAGTAAAAGTCACAAGACTATGGAATAATATCATCAAAGTGCTGGGGAAAAACAGCTTTTAACTAGAGTTCCATAGTAATTAACCTATTTTCCAAGAGTGGTGGCAAAATGCACTTTCAAACAGAGACTTTGCTGAATGCTAGTGGACATGTCTTAGAAAGAAGGAAGGTGGGCCAAGAAGAAAGGAGGATGTAAAAAACAGTAATGGTGAATAAATTGGTAAGTGTGGGTAAATAAGTTTTGACTGTATGAAAAGAGGAAAGGTTAATGAGTTGAGTATTCACTTCAAGTAGTTGGAAAACAACAGTAATTTAAAAGGAGTTGAAGAAGAGATAATAAAAAGAAGAGCAGAATTTAGTGAAATAGGAAATAAAGAATCAACAAAACCAAAAGTTGGTCCTTTGAAAACGCTAATAAGTAGACAAGCCTGTATAGGACTGAAAGAAGAGGTACAAATACAGATATTTGGAATGAAAAAGGAAGCATTCTGAAAAATTTTATGCCACTATATTTGAAAGAGTGGGTAAAATGAAAATTTTTTCTAAAAAGGCCAAGAATATCTAAGACAATTTGGAGGAAAAAGGAAAAGAAAAGGGGGAAGGAGAGAGAACAGAGGTGTTCACTGTATCAGATTTGAAGATTACTGTAAAATCCCAGTAGTTAAAACAGCATGGTAAAGACACAAGGCTAGTCAAATCAGTGAAACATAGCACAGATCTTAAGAAGAGACATGAATATATATGAAAACTTTGTATGTGACTGAAGTCTCATAAATCAGTGGGAGGAAGAGTTCATTAAATGGTGGTAGGGAAATTAGCTAAACTTATGAGTAAAAAATGAAAGTAGATTTTCTGTGTTATGGTAACCAAAAATAAGTATGTGAAAAGCAAAATTTGAGAACTTGTAGAATAAAATACAGGAAAATATCTTTATAAAATGAGGGTAGGAAAGAATATATAAACAAGAAAGCTACCAATCTTAAAGGAAAAGATGAATATTTCATCTCAAAACATTAACCAACAGAAGACTGGCACCCTACAATCAATTAGAAAGACAACAGAAAAATAGACAAAAGATAAGATAGGTAGTTTACAGAAAGGAAAAAAGAAAAAAATAAGTTCAACTTCATCAAACAAAAAAATGAAAAACTAAAACCACATTGAGATATGTCACACTCATCTGTCTGACATCACCAAGAGCTGATAAGGATGTGGTGCAATGAGTTGAGAGTGTACATCTTTACAGCCACTTTGGTGACTCATTTGGGCAATATCCAGGAAAATTGAAGGTAACTCATAGCCATGAGCTGCACAATATCTTATGTATTCCTTTAAGAAACTCTTAGCCATGTACACAAGAAGACACCTTTGTGATCGCCAAGAAAATGGTGGTAACAATCTAAATGTCCCTTTGTGGAGACTAGATAAATACATTTTGGTATGTTTATGCATTGAAATATGCCATATACTTTACATAAATTGACTAGATTTATCTTTCAGTTGAAAGTTCCTTCATCCTGGTTTAGTGTTTGTGCTAAAAGTTAATACTATTCCCCAAGCATTCCCCTTTCTTCTCCTGGGCACACAACAGGGTTGTACTTTTCCCACCCCCTTTGAAGTTAGGTAAAGTCCTGTGACTTGCCTTGGTCAACCAAATGTGACAAAGGTGACGTGTGTTACTTTGAAGGAAGAGTCTTAAGAACCAGGACACAGGTCACTTCTCATTGCTGCTGTAATTGAGAAAACCCATAGTAATACAAAGCCTCTGTCACTTGGATCCTTGTGTGATACAATGTATGAATACTGTGTATTCACAGGGAACACAAAAAATAAACATGTGCTGTGGAAAGGGAGAATGGGGGCTGTTACTGCAGCCTAAGCTATGACTGCAGTATTATTTTAATTTTTTTAACGTTTATTTATTATTGAGAGACAGAGAGAGACAGAGCATGAGCATGGGAGGAGCAGAGAAAGAGGGAGACACAGAATCCGAAGCAGGCTCCAGGCTCTGAGCTGTTAGCACAGAGCCTGACATGGGGCTCGAACTCACAAACCGTGAGATCATGACCTGAGCCAAAGTCGGATGCTTAACAGACTGAGCCACCCAGGTGCCTCAGACTACAGTATTATTTTATGTCTGAACTCAATTACTGTGCGTCTTCTGCCACTTCCTTAAGTTCTGCCTTCCAAATCACGCAATACTTCCCCTTTTCCATGAGATAGAGGTACCATGACTTAGCCTCCAAATACAGTCCTTTCTTGTCTTTCCAAAGTCACAGGGAACTTCTTTCGGAGCCCCCTCCTTCTCTGCCAGGAAACTGTACTCAGAGGTTATTTCTTGTTGCTTAGAGTGTTTTTGCTTGTTGCTTTGGAGTTAAGCTTGATAGTCAAGGGATTTATCACCAAAAATCCATCCTCTCTCCCTTCCTCCTTTCCCTTCTCCCTTTTTTAATCTGTGGATGGCTTCCTCTGCAGAGAACAAAGCAATTAGTGAAGCTGTGTAAGATGAGGACTCAAGTCAGGCATGCCCAACTTTGGAAAATAAATGCAATGCATCGTGCAGAATGTATGTTTAAGATTATTTACTCTACATCATTATAAAGGTAGAACGTTTTGGTATGGTGGTAGTCTACTGCTTACCCTCTCTCTTCAGAGAGTATGTAATATACTGAAAAGTATAGTATATATCTAATGAAAAATTGTCTTTTTGCTAACCTATTTTTAAATTATGTAAATAAAGTAAGTTACAGACCTTGAATGTAAGTAGCTGGGTTTAATTGTAGATTTGGTTTAAATAATAAATTACATTAAAACCCCAACACTAGTAAATGCACAGAAAAGGTCCCAGGGGGACTTAAAAGGCCCTGACCTTTTATCGTACTCGTCTCAGAGAATCTATATCCGTCTTGTCTTTTCTTTTCTTTTCTTTTCTTTTCTTTTCTTTTCTTTTCTTTTCTTTTCTTTTCTTTTCTTTTCTTTTTCTTTCTTTCTTTCTTTCTTTCTTTCTTTCTTTCTCTCTCTCTCTCTCTCTTTCTCTTTCTCTTTCTTTCTTTCTTTCTTTCCTTCTTTTCTCCCTTCCTTCCTTCCTTCCTTCCTTCCTTCCTTCCTTCCTTTCTTAGTTTAGATTTTGTGGGTTTTTTAAGTAATCTCTACACCCAACATGGGGCTCTCATAACCCTGAGATCAAGAGTCACATGCTCCACCAATTGAGCCAGCCAGGTTCCCCATATTTCATTTTTAGACAGCTGTCATTTTGTGGAAGCCCTTTACTTTTATAAGTGAGCAGATTGGTATGGATTTGAAGTAGAGAGAGACTCAAAATCAAAACAGAGCTGGTTCAAAATATAGCAGTTCATGAACAAAGAGAAGAGCATTATGTGTTGAAATGTTCAGAATAGTAAACAAACAAAAAAGGGAAACGAATCCTGGCTGAGGGCAGCTGTGTATTCTGAAAAGGGATCGGTACCATTTCCTAGATCATCTTCCTGCTTTATGAATTTTAAAACAATCTATTATATCATGTTTTTCCAAACAAATTTATTATATTTACCAAGTGCAATAAATATATACAGTTTAGAGTATACTAATAAAACAAGTGCCTGTGTATTCACCACCACCTAGCTTAAGAACACAACAAGACCAGTACTTTTGAAGCCCCTCCAAGATTTCATCTTGGAAATGAAATCAATTAATGTTTGGACCCACTGGTAGGACGCCCTGCAAGATTTCATCCCCCGTTCCCAGACACATTATACTGAGTTTGATATAATAATTCCCTGGATTTCCTTTTTAGTTTTATGTATATATATGTTTAAGTGTATTTCTAGTTTTGCCTTTTTAGAAAACTCTGTATAAATGAACTCATATTCTGTGTTTTTCTTGTGCCTCGCTTTTTTCACTCGACATTATGTATTTTGTTTTTTGAGTTTTTACTTTTTTAGAAGTCACGTTTTTTTATGAAGCAACATTATGGTTTTTGATTCATCTATTTGTATATAGCTATAGTTCACTGAGGTCAATTACTGTGTAGTTTCCTATTATAGTAATATTTTCAAATGTATTTATCCATTCTGTGTTTTATGCAGTATCATATTTCTTTATAGTAAAATACTTCAGGGTTAATTATTACATGCTGTTTGGTTTGTTCCAATCTTAGGTTCAACTTTTTGTCTTGAAGCTATTTGGCATGGAAAGTGTGTTCATGTCTTGAGATAATCAAGATGTTCTAATTTCCCTTTTATCATTGATTTGAGATTGTAATTAATTTTGTTCATTGCACACTATCAGGATATATTTGGCTTCTCTTATCTTGATGCTGAATCTTGTGTTGCACTCACAGTTCCCATGGAGAATGTTGCAACAATTGCTGATTGTGCCAGTGTGATTGAAGGAGTCAGCCGGAGCCGAAATGCCTTGCTGAATGGAGACACCAAGAATTATGATTGGGACTCTGGCTATACGTGTCATCAGCTAGGAAGTGGTGCAATTGTGGTTCAACTGGCACAGCCGTACATGATCGGGTCAATACGGTAAGGAGATTCCTTTTCATTCATTACTTTTAAAATGGAAGACACATGTGCAAATTCTGTTTTAGAACAATGATGATACCATTAACTTCAGTGAAGATACATTTCTGTTCTGTGCTCTAAATATTGAAGGGGGAACAGAGAGAGATACAGGGTGCTTGTTTGGATCTTCTGGTGGGAGGATACACCAAGATTAGACTTGCAGAGAGACTAGATTAGAGGCTCTCCCTGGGTACGGCTCACCTCCTTTTTTTTTTTTTTTTTTTTTTTTTTTTTTTTTTACGTTTTTATTTATTTTTGGGACAGAGAGAGAGAGCATGAACGGGGGAGGGGCAGAGAGAGAGGGAGACACAGAATCAGAAACAGGCTCCAGGCTCCGAGCCATCAGCCCAGAGCCTGATGCGGGGCTCGAACTCACGGACCGCGAGATCGTGACCTGGCTGAAGTCGGACGCTTAACCGACTGCGCCACCCAGGCACCCCATCACCTCCTTTTTTAAAAAATGTTTATTTATTTATTTTGAGAGAGAGCATGAGAAGGGGAGGGGCAAAGAGAGAGAGAATCCCAAGCAGGTTCTGCACTGTCAGCTCAGAGCCAGATGCAGGGCTCAATCCTATGAACATTGAGATCATGACCTGAGCCAAAATCAAGAGTCGGAAGCTTAACTGACTGAGCCACCCAGGCCTCTGGCTCACTTCCTTCTTAAGTCTGTTTGAGTTGGTTAGGGGCTTAGAGGATAATTCAAGAGAGGTTATGTAGAATCAAAACTAATTTCCAACTTGAATAAATGGCTTTACATATGAACCAAACAAATGCGAGTATGAGACCTGGTACTAAAAAAAAAAAAATCTTCTTAATGAAAAATCTGGGCTTGGGGTGGTTGTTTTCATTTTGTTTTGTTTTGTTTTGCTTTGTTTTTTAAGAAAGGAACTTTAACCCAACATTGTTTGACATATAGGCTCATATAATTTTAAAACGCGAGACTAATGATATCCCCTAGAGAATATACTTTAGTTCAAGAGAGCCATCTGGGTGTTGAATAGGCTGCCCTTTTTTGCTTTTTTTATGAAGGTTCTAACAAGGCCTCTGAAAGACTAATATATACATATTTATGTTACATATTTATATTTATGTTTAGCAGTAGTTAAGGTATCTTACATGATAACCCACATGGAGATGTGGGTGGGACAGGACTGCCTCCCCCCCTGCCCCATCACTGTCTACCACATTTGCCTTGTTGTTTTCTGTTCTCATTGTAAAGTCAGCGTATATAAAGAGAGAAATAGCACCAAAAAAATAAGGTAGTAGGATTCTAACAGGCAAAGGTTTATTGATGTTAAGGCTAATAACCACAGAGGTTACTGCAGCTTGCCAGTCCCCAGGGGCCCCCTGACGAGTGATGCTGGATTTCTAGGAGAATTCTGACTGTGGATTTCTTCATTTAAATTGTTAACCTCTTTTCATAAAGGGCTACATACAGGTTGCGTAACATAGGCAACAAGTCACACAGATAGAGAAGCACTGCAGACCAGACAAACCCACTTTGTGCTTAGGAAGGGGGAAGAGAAGCCACAGTCAGTCTGGACAAGCTACCAGTGCAAATAAACTTCTGTCAGATAGCAAACAACATCCCTGTCCTTCCTTTTTTCTCAGCTGTGGGTGTGAAGTAAAGCAGTCATAGGCCATCTATTTAATAAGCCATTCTAGAATTTTTGTCATAGATGGTGTGAGACTTACCCAAATGTTTCCCGTTACAATCTATTCCTCTTCGCTTTAAAAATCTGGGGAACAGTTGTCCTTCTCCGGTCACTGGCACTCCTTATAGTCTTCACAGTCTCTTGAAGATTACCAATCGTGGCTCTGAGATTACATCTGCAACTTCTTTCAGCAGGCGTGGGGTGTAACTCACCGGAGCTAGGAGACTTGGAGTCATTTAAATTGACTAGACACTCTCTTTCTTTCACTTCACCTATTTGGGGCTTCAATTTTCCCTTTTTTTACGGTTGTTCTGCCATTTCTAATTTGAAGACCAGTCTTCTCGCCAATGAAGATGGAAGCAAACTGGCAGCTTAGTGGCTCTTCCCACTCTCTTGTAATGTTCCCTGTGTTCTACCCGCTTACCTGGTACTCCACCTCCGCCCCCAACAGTGTTACACATGCATCTCACACCGACACGCCGGAAATGGAATTCCGTTATCCTCCCTTCCCCTGCTCAAGTCACCTTGAGATTTCCCTCAGCTCATTCAGTGGTACCACCCATCTATCCGTAGACTGCGCTAAAAGTACGACAATCTTCCTGAATTTACTCCTCTCCCTCGCCTCTCCTCTTCAACCAGTTCTGTCAGTACTGGCTCCTACATATCTCACAAAGCCTTCCACCCTTCCCCACGCCCACTGCAGTTGTACCTTTGTAGTTTCTCCTCTCTGCCTGGTCTTCCAGACTTCCATCTGGCCCTTCCTTCCCCACCTGCAGCCAACTCCCCACCCCAGATCTGATGCGGTCACGCCCCTTCGGGAGAAAGTTCAGACGAAGGCATTTAAGAACAATCTGACTTGCTTCTGTCTACACAGCCTTGTCCTGTGCTTCTCCACCCACCTCTACACAAGCCCGTCTTAGCCTGTCCAGCTTCCTGCAGTTTTGCACATGCCACCCCTCTCTCACCTCTATGCCTTCAACTCTTTGAACATGCTGTTCCATTGCTAGTGTCTCTCACTGCCTTCTCCTCACCCCTTTGTACCCAGCTCTTACTCCCCTCTTCAAGACTCTGTTCCTCTGGGAATGCTACCCTAACTGCCCATCATCTCCTGGGCTGATCTAGACCTCCTTCTTCAGTGATCCCATTCATTCTCTATATATTCATTCCAATAGGAATTATATTTGTATTATAATCATTTACTTGCTGCCTCCTCACAGCCTCACCTGATAAATAAAGCCTGTGGCAACTCACAATAAGCATCCCTGTCAGAGAAAATGTGTAGAAGGGGAAATTATAGCAGGTGCAGTAGGAGATCTAGAATTTTAGATCCAGCAGGAACACATGAGGTCACTGCCCAAGTGACAACTCAGAGTGAGACAAACAGGCTCTTTGTGTGACAAAGCCTCCTTGACCTCTGGCTCTACCCAGAGAATCAAAGATATTCAATCTGACTCCAGAAAAAGGTGTCACTGGGCTTAAAGCAAGAGAAAACAGTGCCCATTTGGTTTTCTTTAAACATGGAATGAAAATGGTTCCCCTGAACTAATTTTTCTTTCCATGACTCAGAATGGCGATAATGAGCATGAACACAACCAAAGGTAGTATTGTCTATCTCAGCCTCCAAACTTCCTTAAGCCAGCTATTGTTTTTGCAGTGAGAAAATCCATGCAATTGAAGCCCCATGTAACTGGCTGAGCACTCAAAGAGACACGTTTCTGTGAAACTAACATTATGTTGTCAGGATCTGCATTTGCCTCTTCTGTGACATTATTAAGAAGAAAGGGAGAGGGATTTCTTAACCACCGATGCCTGTGGACAATGCTGGATATCTTGGCGGGCCATGGTTAGCAGCTGCTGATGTGCCCAGACAGACATTTATTGATAGGAAACTAGATCAGTGGCACCTCTTCATGGGGGTAGGTAATTGACCAATGACAGGATGATTAGTCAGTGACATTTGACCCACAGCTTCTATTGCTTGTGATGACTGACTTGCTTTCCTAGTCACTGTATCTGAAAAAGCTCAATGATTCTGAATCGACACCCAGAGGGAGAGTGTTACAGAACTGAGTAACTAACACTTTCCCCATCTAGGAGATAGGAGATCTGGCAATCCTGGAAACTCTTCCTCTAGGAAAGGAAGCCCAGTCACATGGTACATTGGCTTTAAAAATTCAGGTTTCTTTGTGGACGGTGACTAGGAAGGCAAAGGACTCAAACATGAATTGTCTTAATCACTGTGATCTTTTTTCCTAAAGGAAGATGTAAGTGTTTTATGGATAGAGATGTCTTTTGTTTGTCTGTTTTCATCCTCAGAAATCATTTCTTCCTTTCCTGAGCATTTAGCTGTAGGCAGGTAGGCAGGCAGAGCCGCCTTCTTTGCCTGGTGATGCTTGCTTGCTCCTAACCACAGTCCTCGGAAACCTAATTCTGCTAGTGTGTCTGGTACCAGTACCTTGTGGTATCCTGGAGAGGCTGATCGTGAAACATGACCCCTGACCATCCCTCCTCCCCCCCATTTTCTTTCATTCATTTAGCAAACATTTATTGAGCCTTCTACTGTGTTCCAGGCACTGTTCTCAGCCATGGGGATAGAGCATCGAATAAAGAAAACAAACATCGATGCTGTCATAGAACTGACATTCTTGTCAGGGGGAGATAAACAGTAAACAACACTGTAATATGTCAGATTTTTCGAAGTGCCACGGAGCAATCAGGAGGGAGGACTAGCAGGTAGAAACAGTGCAGTGTTAGATGCAGTGGTCAGGGAAGGCCTGTGCAGAGCCCGAAGAAAGGGAAGAGCAAGCCATCTGGGGACCTAGGGGATGAGCATCACAGAGTGCCAAGGCCCCAAGAGGGAGCATGTCTGCCAGGTGGCAGGAGCAGTGAGGAGGCCAGTGTGACTAGAGCAGGGTGAGGGAGGCTGAGAGCAAGAGGCAAGGTGAGGGAGGTGACTTGGAGAGGCGACAGCCCTGAGATTTGTTGCCATTTGGTTTCTGTATTCAGTCACCAACTCCCAAAACCATCCCACCCACCACCCACACAGCCATCCCTGCATTTCATTAGCACCATGAGAGGAGAGTTTTCTGGGCTGAGGAGAAGAGGGGTCTGGTGGGGAGGCCATCACGCCTTCAGAAGCGCCTTCCTTGCTCCTGACCTGCCTTTATCCAGCCAACTCCTGGAAGAGAAACCACAGAGGCGTCCAGTCCTTACAGCTCAACAGGAAACTTGCTCCCCAGCTCCCTCTTCTTTTTCTCTCTCCTAAGAGCCAGAGCAGGCAGTGTAACTGGGAAATAAAGAAGCTTG